GCTGACCAGGTTTCCTCAACTGAACTTGTCTCGCTTGCCTGGATTTGGCCCATATCCCTCTAAAACATTCCTATCCATGTGCCTGTCCAAATACCTTTTAAAGGTTATAATTGTATTCATCACCACCACTTCCTGTGGCAGTTCGTTCCATATACACACTGCCCTCTGTATGAAAATTGTGCCTCTCAGTTCCCTTCTCAATCTTGCCGTCTCACCTTTAAACCTATGGCCTTTAGCTTTGGATTTCCCCCCTACCCCGGGGAAAAAGACCTTCGCTATTCGCCTTATCTATGCCCCTCATGAGTTAATAAAGCTCTAAGGTCAGCCCTCAGTCTCCTACGCTCTGGGGGAAAACGTCCCAGCCGATTCAGACTCACCTTGTAACACAAACCCTCCAATCTTGGTAACATCCTTAAATCTTTTTTGCACCTTTTCCAGTTTAATAACATTCCTCCACAGCAGGGCGACCGGAATTGGATGCGGTACTTCAAAAGTGGCCATATCTACATCTTGTAGAGCCAGAATATGTCCAAGCTCCTGTATTCTATGTTCTGATGGATTAAGGCAAGTGTGTCAATCGCCACCTTCACTACCCTGTCTACCTGTGGCACCATTTTCAAGGAACTATGTACCTGCGCCCCTAGGTCTCTGTTCTACAACACTTCCCAGAGCCCTAACATCAACTGTAAGTCCTGCCCTGGTTTGTCTTCCAAAATACAATACCTCACGGTTATCTTAATTAAACTCCATCTGCCATTCTTCGGCCCATCTTCCACAAATTTCCTCCCATTGGTTTCAAGGCCATCAAAGCAGGAACCTGAAATGTAAGGGATGATTGACAATTTGGAAGGACAGTAGGAAAGGAAAAGGAGACAGCTCTGTCAATACAGCGTAAAATCAGTACATTAGTGAGAAATGTTCATGAAAGGGGAAAAGGCCCATCGTATCAGAGCTCATGCTATTAGCAGTCCCTGTGGATGTGAAGTCCTGAGTTCCTTTGGAGTTAGTAAGAAGAATGCTTCAGACGTATAAGATTGTAGAGATGCCAGGCTGGGAAACATCCTACAAGGCATTGAAGATATGGGCTTTGCAAACCCATGTTCAGTAATAACAAGCTGAGTTAGTACTTTGTTTTAAAGGTTTCTGGGAGAGATTTACCAAAAGGAAAGCAAAGGAAGTCATCATAAAAGGAAAAAAAGGGTGAATTATGAAAGAATAGTCGAAAAATATAAAAAGACAGTCAAAGCTTCTCAATATACATAAAAAGGAATACTAGTAAGTGAACGCTGATCCTTTAGCAGGTGAGGCTGAGGAATTAATATTGAGAAATTGCAAAGGCTTTGAACAAATACTTTGCACTTGTCTTCAAAACAGAACAGATGAAAAGCATCCTAAGATTAGTCAAAAAAAATCAAGCGGCGAAAGGGAAGGAAGACCATAAAATGATAAGAGCAGCTAAAGATATTTAAGGTTGACAAGTACTATAGACCTGTTGATCTTAAACAAAGGGTCACAATTGAAATGGCTGCAGAGATAGTGGATGCACTGGATGTAACCTGCCAGATTCTTCAGGTTGCGGAAAGGTAACAATAGATTGAAAAGTATTAGCAAACATATTAGAGGGTGCAGAGATATCACTCATTTGCATTCTGGGAGTGGACTTCACAGTCAGTGTGGGTGTGAAGGGCATCGTGGAAGAACCTGGTGTTAAGGAACAGTCATTTCCAGTGCCCAGGACCTGCATGTGTGCAAGAAGTGTCTCTAGCTGCAGCTCCTGGGAGCCTGGAGTTCAGAGTTGGAGTGGCATCTGGGGACATTGGACAATTCGCGAGGCAGAGAGTATCGTGGATAGCATGTATAGAGAGGTGGTCACACCTCAGACTCCACAGGCAGGAAGGGAATACGTGACCACTAAGCAGAGCAGGAGGGCTAAGCAGGCACTGCAGGAATCGCCTGTGGCTATTCCCCTACAAAACAGATATACTATTTTGGAAACTGTTGAGGGGAATGGCCTCTCAGGGAATAACAGCAGCAGCCAAATTTACGAAACCATGATTGGTTCTGCTGCAGAGGGAGGGGCAATAGGCAGAGAAATGCCATAGTTACAGGGGATTCAATCATAAGGGGAATAGATAGGCATTTCTGTGGCCACAAACGAGAGTCCAAGATAGTGTGTTGCCTCCCTGGTGCTATGGTACTGAATGTCTCGGAGTGGTTGCAGGGCATTCTAGAGGGGGAGGGCAAACAGCCAATGGTTGTGGTACACTTTGGTACTAATGACATAGGTTTTAAAAAAAAGATGAGGTCCTAAAAGCAGAATATAGAGAACTAGGAAGAAAGTTGAAATGTAAGACCTCCAAAGTACTTATCTCAGGATTACTACCAGAGCCACAAGCTGGTCAGAGTAGAAACAGCAAGATATATAGGATAAATATATGGCTGAAAAGATGATGTGAAGAGGTGGGTTTCAGATTCATGGGGCATTGGGATTGGTTTCGAAGAGGTGGGACCTGTACAAAATTAATGGGTTTGTACAGTTTCCAATCAGGGAGACCTGTTTGTAAAATTTCCAATCACAATGTCCTGGATGACATATGAAAAGAGGAGTGTCAGAGATGCTGACACTCTGGTACCTAACTCCAAATGAGGCAGTTCTAAAGTCAAGGACTGTTCATATGTAAATAAAGAGTGACTTGGTGATAGATACTGGCCTCTGTGGACTTATTTCACTCCCCCTGTATTGCTTTATCAGTTATCCTCTGCATGCTTTCTGAAGGCTTCCCAATCCTCTGGCTCCACACGAATCTTCACCACATTGTTCGCTTATTTTTTGCTTTTATGCTGTCTCTGACTTCCCTTGTCAGCAATGGTTGCTTCATCCTCTGCTAAGTATGTTTCTTTCTTGAGGTGATTTTCTGCTGTGCCTCCTGAATTACCCCAAAAAATCTTCCCATTGCTGCACCATCTCCTCTGCTAGGTGCCCCTTCCAATCAACTTTGTCCAGCTCCTCCCTCATGTCTTTGTAGCTACCTTTTCTCAATTGTAATACCATTACATCTGATTCCAACTTCTCCCTGTCAAACCACTGCGGGAGTTCTATCACATTATGGTCATTGCTCCCTAGGGGCTCCTTCACCTTAAGCTCCCTAAACACATCTGCCTCATGACAAATCATCAAATCCAGAATTGCCTGTTCCCTAGTGGGCTCTACCACAAGCTGCTGAAAAATAATCTCAAAGACATTCCCTCAATTCCTTTTCTTGAGATCCAACTTGATTTTCCCAGTCCATCTGCATATTGAAGCTCCCCATGATTACTGTAATTGTGCCTTTCTTACATGCCTTTTCTATCTCCTAATTTATTTTCTTCTCCATATCCCAACAATCAGGGTCTTTTATCTTTGCTGTTCTTCAACTCTTACCTACAAAGATTCTACGCCTTCTGACTCTATATCACTTCTTGTTATTTGGAATTGAGCAGTCAGAGCTGAATTACTGAATATATTCAAAGCTGAGTTAAATGGAAATTTTGGCTGTCAAGAGTCAAGGATTAAAGGTGCAGGCAAGAATATGAAATTAAAGCCACAATCAGATCAGCCATGATCTGACTGACTCATCAAGCAGGCGCAAGGGGCTAAATGGCCAACTCCAGGTCCTATTTCTTATGTTCTCTGTCTGTCTGAGATGAACAATGCTCTCCCATAATTGTCTGCTGCCCACCTTACACAGGACCGGGGATCCAGCCCTTACAGGCTCGAGATGAGAGTAATGCAAGAATGCATTATGTATGATAATGTTTTTGTGAAACAGCACCAGCATATTGGAAATGCAGGTTTCTAATTTGGAGATTTATATTAATGTGACAAACAATACTATTGACGTAATTTTAAGTGAGGACTTCTCGTTACAGGTGTACATGTATATGTTCATAAGCATAATGTCTTTTTATGGAAGGTTCTGGAAACCTGAGTGGACAAGAAGATCGATGTACTCGTTCTTTCTGAGGTCTACATAACTTACAATAGTGTCCCATCCTTAAATGCTGCTCCAAACCTTCGAACCATTCCAGTGAGTCTAGTGGCCTGGAATTAACATTGTGCATTTTGCTAATCTCCTTGCATAAGCACTATAACTTTGTGCAAATGATGTTATTGATAATGATTTTGAGGTGACCTCAAAAGAAGCCATACCGGATTTGAAACATTCACCCGGTTTCTCTCTCCACAGGTGCTGCCAGGCACACTGAGTCTCTTCAGTATTCTGTGTTTGTGATAGTATTCCATCCACTTTTGAACTGTATAATATGTAATTGTTTATTTATGGTGTTACTGAAAGTATTAGAAGGTGACTGTTGTATTGTAAAAGTGCAAATTGCATTGTGCTCTTACCTTGTCACTGCCCTGACTTATTTGCCAGAGTATTCATCTGGTCTACACTATTGATTTCATATGGTGTTCAATAATTAACATCAGCTCAAGGAATGGGAGAGCGCAATGGTACTGAGCCTTAAGATATATATGCACAGCTTTATTTTCTCAAATCGATGCAAGTCTATTCAAAATTAGACTTAGACTCCCTACCGTGTGGAAACAGGCCCTTCCGCCCAACGAGTCCACACCAGCTCGCACAGCGTCCCACCCAGACCCATCCCCCTGTAACCCACCTAATCTATACATCCATGAACACTATGGACAATTTAGCATGGCCAATCCACCTAGCCTGCACATCTTTGGACAGAGGGAGGAAACCGGAGCACCCGGAGGAAACGCAGACACAGGGAGAATGTGCAAACTCCACACAGACAGTCGCCTGAGAGCGGAATCGAACCCAGGCCCCTGGTGCTGAGAGGCAGCAGTGCTAACCACTGAGCCACCGTGCCGCCTGGAATGCCTCAGCTAATTATGATTCTAAAATATTATTCAAATATGTACAAAAAATTATAACAATGATAATAGTATTGTGATAATATGTCTTCATGTTCTTTTTCTTGATGATCTTTACCTTTAACATTTTTGACTGACTTCCTTTTAAAACATTGATTACTGCCTTGCAATGTTGTCCTCTGAGCTGTTCGATGATGGAATTGAATTTAGCAGACATACATTTCCAATGTTCCAGTTCTGTGAGTGGACCTGAATTTTCTGCCTCTTTTCTCACTTGATTACTTTGTGCCAGCACCTATAGACAAAAAATAACTCAATGTTTGTATTTTCTGACTTATTAGGAAAATAGGGCTGAGGAGCAGGATTAGGTCATTTGGCTCTTTGAACCTCCTCCATCATTCAATTTACATTGACCTGGTTGTGGGCTCAGTTTCACTTTACTATCTGCATCCCATAACCATTGACTTCCTTGTCTATCAAAAATTTAGCTAATGCAGCCTCGAATAAAGTTAAAGACCCAGCCTTCATTTACCTTCTAAGGAAGACAATTCCAGCCCCTGAAAGAAGAAGAATCCTCTTCTTTATCTTAAAAGGGAGATATTTTGTTCTTAAATTGCCTTCCAGCTGTAGTCTTCCTCATAACAGGAGACATCTTCACAGTATCCAATCTGTCCAGACCAATCAATATCCTATACGTTTCAACAAAATAATTCTCATTCTTCTAAATTCTAATGGATGTAGGCCTAACTTGGTCAAACTTTCTTCAGAGAAATAAGTTGATTGTATCTTTTCTGAAGTGTTTTGAAAGCAATGATTTATTTTTTCAAACAACAGGCCAAAGATATACACATACTCCAAATATGGTCTCACAAACTCCCTGTACAGTTGTAATAAACCATCTCTACTTGCATGTTACAATCCACTTGCAAATGGAATGTGGCATTTATTGTTTTCCCAATGAGTTGCTATACCAGTGTACCATCTTCATGATTCGTATACCAGGACACTCAGATCCCCCGTACCACAGAATGTCCCTTCATTTAAATAGCATTTCAATTCTTCCTAACAAAATAGACAATTTCACATTAATTTACATTCTACTCCAACTACCATAACATAACCTATCTATATCCCTTTTGCAGACTCACTCCCTCCTCCACACAAGTTACTTGTCGGCCTATACAAATAGGCCCTTGATAGTACAGAACCTTTATGCTGTTTAAAAAGAAATGGATTTTGTCAAAGCTTTTCATCTTACACACATGAGAACAATTTCTACATATTTTCTTATAAACAAATTTAGCCACTATACATTATGTTCCCTCATTAAAACTATTGAAATGGATTGCAAATAGTTGAGGATGGGGTGTTAGGGAGGGGGAATAGCCGAGCCCCTTTGATAGTTAAACCAAAACACAAGCCCCAATCTGCTATGATGGGATCAGAGTTTCCCTTCTAAAAATTACCCCCCAAAACACGCAAGTGAAGGGAGCAAGAGAGAGAGAGTGTGTGTATGTGTTCATATGGTGTGTGTGTGTTTCCTAAGAAAGCTGCCATGATTTAGGCTCATGCGTAATATGCTCATGTGAGGGGAAATAAAACTTCTGAATGTCATAACTTATGTTTGAAAAATCCAGAATTATTTTTGAAATTATAGCTATTTAAATTAGTAGCTGACAGTATTAAGAAGATTCATAATTATTTGCAAAATTAGTTCCTACAGTGGAGGAAAAATTAGATTTTTGTTTTTCAGTTCTGGATTGTTCTGATCTGTTTTTGTAAAGTGTTATAAATACTCTTTCGAACTCTAAAAGAAGGCATGTGATTTCAACAAAAATAGCAACAAAGCAATGGGGAGATAATTGCGAAAGTGTTTGGTAACGTGCAGTTTACATCCACCAGAGAGAGAGAAAATAGGCCAGAGGCAGGTTCATGCAGGGAAGGAGGCCTTAAGCACCAGAGGTGCTATTATTAGCAGTCAGCAAGCTGTTAGAGCTGTGCAGAAGTGCTGAGATACTTAGAAATCAGTAAAAAGAAAGTTCCAAAACCAGAAGGCTCTGGAAGGGTCAGAGAGGAAAACATCCAACATAGGTGCTGAAGACATGAATTTGAAGTACCCAATTGTGAACCAAGTTAGCATTTTATTTTAAAGGTCTGGGGGAACAGCCATTAATTGAAGAGAAAAGCATTCAGTGAATGTGAAGTGATTTGCAAAAAGGCAACAGATTATATCCGTGTGAGCTGAGCAAGGAACTTTAAAATGGAGAAGGTGTGACTCTTCACTGATATCTGAGTCTATAAAGGTATTTCTGGGACAAGAGGAATGAATTTTTCTTTCTGATGTTTGTACATGAGGTTTCTCCAGTACTGCTTATAAGATAATTTGTACTTCTCTGAAATATCTTACGTTCTTTTGTTAAACATACATTGGCAGCCATATAGAATCCCTGCAGTGTGGAGACAGGCCATTCGGCCCAACAAGGCCCTCCGAAAAGGATCGCACCCAGACCCAGTCCTTTACCTCTGCATTTCCCATGTCTAACCCACCTAACCTAAACATCGCTGGACACTATGGTCAATTTAGCACGGCCAATCCACTTTGCCTGCACCTCTTTGGACTGTGGGAGGAAACCAGAACACCCAGGGGAAACCCACGCAGAAAGGGGGAGAATGTGCAAACTCCACACAGACAGTCTTCCAAGGGTGGAATCAAACCCAGGTCCCTTAGAACATAGAACATAGAACAGTACAGCACAGTACAGGCCCTTCGGCCCACGATGTTGTGCCGACCTATTATCCTACTAAGATCAAACTACCCTGCATACCCTACATTATACTAGCATCCATGTGCCTATCCAAGAGTCGTTTAAAAGTCTCCAAAGTATCTGACTCCACTACCACTGCCGACAGCTCATTCCACACACCCATCACTCTCTGTGTAAAGAACCTACCTCTGAAATCTCCCCTATACCTTCCTCCAATCACCTTAAAATGATGCTCTCTTGTAATAGTCATTTCTGCCCTGGGAAAAGGTCTCTGGCTATTCACTCTATCTATGCCTCTCATCATCTTGTACACCTCTATCAAGTCACCTCTCATCCTTCTTCGCTCCAATGATAAAAGCCCTAGCTCCCTCAACCTTTCCTCATAAGACTTTCCCTCCAGTCCAGGCAGCATCCTGGTAAATCTCCTCTGCACCCTCTCTAAACTTCCACATCCTTCCAAAACTGAACACAATATTTCAAGTGTGATCTAACCAGGATTTTATAGAGCTGCAGCATAACCTCAAGGCTCTTAAATTCAATTCCCCTGCCAAGGAAGTCCAACACACCATACGCTTTCTTTACAACCCTGTCAACTTGGGTAGCAACTTTGAGGGGTCTATGGACGTGGACCTCAATATCCCTCTGTTCCTTCACACTGCGAAGAATCCTGCCATTAACCCTGTATTCTGCATTCAAATTCGACCTTCCAAAATGAATCACTACACACTTTTCTGGGTTGAATTCCATCTGCCACATCTTTGTCCAGCTCTGCATCCTGTCAATGTCCCGTTGGTACCTACAACAGCCCTCCACACTATCCACAATTCCACCAACCTTTGTGTCATCGGCAAACTTACTAACCCACCCTTCCACTTCCTCATCCAAGTCTTTTATAAAGATCACAAAGAGCAGAGGTTCCAGAACAGATCCCTGCAGAACACCACTGGTCACTGAGCTCCAGACTGAATACTTTCCATCTACTACCACCCTCTGTCTTCTATTGGACAGCCAGTTTTGTATCCAGACAGCCAAATTTCCCTGAATCCCATGCCTCCTTACTTTCGGAATGAGCTTATCATGGGGAACCTTATCAAATGCCTCGCTAAAATCCATATACACCACATCCGCTGCTCTGCCTTCATCAATGTGTTTTGTCACATCCTCAAAGAACTCAATAAGGCTTGTGAGGCATGACGTGCCCCTCACAAAGCCATGCTGACTATTTCTATTCAAACTGTGCTTTTCCAAATAATCATAAATATTATGTCTCAGAATCCTCTCTAATAATTTGCCCACCACAGAAGTAAGACTGACCAGTCTGTTATTCCCAGGATAATCTCTATTCCCTTTCTTGAACAAGGAAATGACATTTGCCACCCTCCAATCATCTCGTACTACTCCCCTTGTGCTGTGAGGTGGCAGTGCTAACCACTGAGCTACTGTGCTGCCATGTTTTTATTCATTGTTTAGGTGGGATTCTGACTTACAGTCATTCAGTCATAATCCCACAGATGGTAGTTTTGCACCATTGGCTCCTCAGCCAAGCATATACACCAAATATCTGAGCCTGCGGTTCCTCTCGTATTGAGCAGGATTACTACTGCAACACCACATCATCAGTAGAGTAATACTAACCTGTGTCATGATGGTCTAAACCCAGATCATGTTCCCTATCTTGTGATTATGTTCACTGCCATATGACATGTGGTAAATAATACGATTCATATGATACAGCTGCCAGGGAATCGCCAATTAGAGAGACTCGAACCGTCACACTTGACATTCAATTATATCACCATTTTGAAGACTGTGAAGGTTACTATTGAGAAACTGAACTGGACTGCCATATAAATAATGTAGCTACAAAAATAGATCTGAAGCTAGGAATCCTGCAGTGAGTATCACATCTCATAATTCCCTAAAACTTATCCATCATCCACAAGGCACAAGTCTGAGGCCTTACGTAAAGGGATGCTCCTCCACCAGAAATGAGTAGCAGCAACTATGTGTACCATCTAAAAGGTACACTGCAGAAATTCACCAGAGGACCTTAGATAGCACCTTTCAACCCCTTCTTGAAATCATACAAGGTTTTGGAATCAACTACTTTCTGCAGCAGAGAATTCCACAGGCTCACCATACAGTAATACAGCACAGAAACAGACCCTTCGGTCCAACTCGTCTATGCTGATCTGGTATCCTAAATTAATCTAGTTCCATTGCCAGCATTTGGCCCATTTCCCTTTAAACTCTTCCTTGTCATGAACCCATTTAGATGCCTTTTTAATGTTGTAAATGTACCAGTCTCCACCACTTCATCTGGCAGCTCATTCCACACATGCACTAGCCTCTGCATGAAAAAGTTGCCCCTTGGGTCCCTTTTAAATCTTTCTTCTCTCACCTTAAACCCTTTAGTTTTGGACTTCTCTAGCCTATGAAAAAGTCCTTGGCTATTCACCCAATAAGGTCACCCCTCAACTTCCAACGGTCCAGTGAAAATAGACCCAGCCTATTCAGCCTCTTCCTTTAG